GGCTCCCGCGCAGCGCGAAGGCCCCGGCCGCGCCGCCTGTCCGCACCTGCGTTGCCCAGCTGCTTGTAGAACCGGTACTCCAGGTGCAGCTGCGGGGCCCGGGATTTGATGGGTTCCTTGGAGGAGAGGACGGGAAGAGTCAAGGCCGTTGTAGGGAGCAGGAGGTAGGATGTCGAGCGGGATGTTGTCTCCTAAAGAGCTCCCCTACCCACCATCGTCCTCCTGCCCAGTCATCATCCCCTGCCTGTCATCGTCCCCCTACCCACCATTGTCCCCCCTTTCCAGCCATTGTCCCCTTCCCGCCATCGTCCCTTGCCCAGCTCCCCCCTTCCCGCTGTCCCCACGCTGTCCCCACCGCTCACCAATTTGATGGCCACGTACTCGTTGGTGTAGAGGTTCTTCCCTGTGGGGAGAGAGCCGGGAAAGGCTGAGGGCAGCGCGACCCCCCTGCTCCCACTGCCGCCCCCTGAGGCCTTCAGAATATCCCGAGCGGCTTGGAGGCACCAGAGGGGCTGGGATCACGCCTGGGAATTACCCCCTCGCAACCATGGATCCCTTCCCGCTAACAGTGCGATGAGTGGAGCCAAGTTGGATGGGGAGGGCCAGCTTCCCGCGCTGGTTCCGGCCCCCGGACCTGCGGCTGCTGCTCCTTTGGGTCTCCCACCCATCCCGCCACCATCCCGCGCCCAGGGGTGCCAGGGAAGCCAAAGCATCCAGAGCTGCTCACGTCCCCGAGGGATTCCCGCACCCCAGAACACCCCGAGACAAATTCCCGCGGCCCGACCAAGCTCTGCGGAGCCCAACCCTGCACCCCCTCCCCGGCCAGGCAGGGATCCACATCCAGCTGCGGCTCCTGTGCCCGGAGCTCCTCATTCCCACTGGAGCTGCCCTGGGACAAGGATTTGAGGCAGCAGGTGAGGGAGAATCTCCCCATTCCCGGTGATCAATCCCTGTGGTCTTGGTGGAAGAGGCCTCGTGCCCACCCCGAGTCCCTGGTGCATCAACAGCCCAGGATTTTCCCAACGGCGGAGCCGGGCACGGCTGCTCCACGGACAGTATGGAAAAGGGCGGATCATGGAAAGGGCTTAGGATCAAACTGAACTCCACGAAGCGTCCACATGCTGCAGAGCTGGGGGGACATGAGGACCCTGCCCAAGGGGCTCCCACAGCTGGGAAGCGCCCAGGTCCACGGACACAAAGAACAAGGAATTTTCTGGAAATCGCTCAGTGCTGCTTCTGCCAGAGGCCGCCAGGAATTTGGGCAAAGGGGAGTTAACGGCAGCAGGTCCCGGCGCGGCCTGAGCCAGGAGACGCGGAGCGCGCCCCGGCACGCGCGGATCCGAGCGCGCTGCATCTGTCTCCTCGGATTTTCTCCAAGCAATTTGCCGAGGGAACAAGCTCCTCCCGGTGTAAGATTTCATCTGCTCCGGCTGCTGCTCTCCACCTGAAGCAGCAATAAATCCTCCGCGGGCGACACCAGAGCCAGCTGCTGAGAGCCAGGGCCGGCAGCAGGAGCACGGGAAGAGGGATGAACGGGAGGTGTCGGCGGAGCGGCTCCGGCCCGGGAAGGGGCTCTGCAGCCAAACGGTGGCCGAGGCCACTGTGAACCTCCCCCATCCCAGGGGACCTTCCCCAAGTCGCTCCGGCTCCTGCTCCCAGGATGGGGAGGAGAAGCGAAATCTTTAACGACTGGGGAGCAGCTGAGCGGGGAGCAAGGAGCAGGAGAAACGTTGGGAGAGCAGGAGGCGACCCCAGCCCCGGCGCTCCTGGCCCAGCATTCCTGGCCTGGCGCTGACACCCACGGAGCAGGGAAGCGCTGGGATACCGGGCATGGGCAGTGGGCACCAGCTCCGTGGTAGTCACGGGGACGGCCCAGCTGGGTGTTCACAGGCTTGTTCCGCACGGGAAACCAAGGGCCCCATCCTGGCAGCGCCGACTCGGCCCTCCGGCACTCCCGGCCCGCAGGGCGCTCGGGAAGCAGCGGGAGCTGCAGGCGGCCGCGCTCACACCTGGACGTGGCCCCAGGCCCTCCTCTCCTCTCCTCGCTCCAAGCTGCTGCTTTTGCCCTTCCAAAGTTACTTTCCATCTTTCAGCTGCGGCTCCTCTCTGCTTTGAGTCCCCTTTTCCGCCTGGCTCCTGCTTCTCAGCGGCCCAAGGAGCCAGCAGAGGAGCAGGGCTGGCCGCTCCGGAGCGATGACGGGGCCGAGCTGGGACACGTGTCTCCCGGTGCTGGCGTCCCAACGGGAATGCCAAGGCCATGGCAGGATCCAAGTCCCGCGAGCCAGGAACTCCTGCCCGACTCCTTCCCCTCCTGGCTTCTCCCGCCTGCCCGAAGCCAAGATTTGAGGAAGTGGGTCCTGCTCGGGAGGCTCCGGGAGCCTGCGGGACACGTGGGCTCCGAGGTGCGGAGCGGAGGGAGCAGCACCCGCATCTTGGCATAGGGAGCCGGGTAAAGCGGTGCCCCTTAGCCCCAACTTCCATGAGCGGTTTTGAGGTGGCATCGCCACCAGGAGCCGGACTAGCTGCCTCCCAAGCGGGGTTTGCCCTGGACTCCGGCCCTGCTGAGCGGCCGCCCTTGCCGGTTTTCCAGGTGCTCCATGTACGTGCGTGGGTCTCACACCCAGCTCAGGGCCGCACCGGAGAAACCGCGGCCATTCCAGGGATGAGGACACGAGCGCCCCTCTCCCCTCCTGCAATTGAAGGCCTGGAGGAAGGATTAGAGCTCTTCCCTCTGCAGCACCGGGAAAGACGGATGCTCCAGGCTGGGTCCAAGCGCGGGAAGCGTGCGACTGGCTTTAGGAGCGACCGTTTTCCCGAGTTCTGAACTGAGGGTGGTGGCAGGGAGGTTCGGGAACAGGAGGGGTCCCGCTGGGAATCGCTCCCATTACTGCTCACTCTCCTGCTCCTTCCGCTAGCCAAGGAGTCCATGTTGAGCCTTGAGCTTGGCTCGCCAAGGCCCGGCTTAACTCCCCGGCTCCCGGCCCGTTCTGGGGAGCTGCTCCCACGCACCGCCCTTTCCCGAAGCGCTCCCAAGGCGGAGGCTCCGCCAACACATCCCGCTCACATTCCTGCAGGGATCCAGCCCAGCGGCCCCTGGCACTGCCAGGCCTCTCCCTGCCGCCAATTCCGATCTGAGAGTTCAAAACCTCCCAGGGCACTTGGAGTCCTTGGGAGAGGAGCAACCTACCCTCCCTCGCGCTCAACTTGCTTCAACCATTTCCTGCTTCATTTAGTGCAAACGGGAAATAACCACGGAAGTTTTGGGGTTGGATTCAGCCCTTTCTCAAGCTTTCAGAAGTGCTTCCAAAAGAGCCAGTCCAGCCACCGGAGAATTTATCTGAAATAAACTGTTGCCTCGTTTTCCCTAACCACTCTCTGCAACAGAACCAAGAGCATTCCCTGCGGCTCTCCCTCCCTCCCGGAGCAGGGAGACGGCGGCTTGGAGGGAGACCTGGAGAGCACTCCCAGCACCTCGGGACACGCTGGAACACTGGGGCCACCTCCAGCCAGGAGAGCGCCCTATTGTCCCAGAACAGGCCCGGAGCAGGGCCGGGAAACCCTCCGGCCGGGCCCTGCAGCCGAGCACAGGTGAAGGGGCCGCCAACAGCGCCGCGGCCCCATGGGCTGGAACATTGTCCTGCTGTGGCAGGCGACGGAGCGGGACCCCGAGCGGGGACAGGGGGCCCTTCTCACCTAGACGGAGCTCCCCGAAATTGCCGCATCCAATCTTCTTGCCGACGCGGAAGTTGGGACCCACCATTAAGACTCCCGAGTTGGTTCCAGCACTCCGGCTTCCATGACTGCTCCTTCCTCCACCTGCCTTGGACATCCTTTTACCTTCCTCCAGCTCCCCTTTCCCTCCTCTCTTATCAAAATCCATAAGTTTGTGATACCCCGGCCTCTCCACGGTTACGCTGCTGCCATACAAATCCAGGAGCTGCCGGAAGTCGAGGGGGGAGGAGAGAAGAAGCAGGACTCCTCTTTGTCAATACAGCATCCCGGTGCGTGGCGGGAGACGGGTGTGGAGAAGGAGGGAGACGCGACCGCCGCGGGCACCGGGCTACGGAAACGTTAGCGCTTTCCGAGGCGCCGCCGGGATTGTCATCGTCGCCTGCTACACGGAGCTCTTTGGTGGAGAGAACATCCTGCAGAGAGGGTCTTCTCAGGGCGCTCCTCAGGCTCCGAGCTGCAGAGAGGAGAAGGGAAAATCAGCATCAGGGAGGTGGGGGG